AGTAAAGTTCACTTATTTTTTAGGATTCCAATGTACTATTTATTTACAATCTCTAATTTAATTAAATAATAATTAAACTCCCTATTAATCAACCATTCTATAGTTAGAGACTTGTAGTTAGGAATAACCATGTGGCTCATACCATAAGTTGAGTTTGCCAGCAAGTATTGCCTATAATCAAAGTACTTTTTGGAATTTTTATATATCTCTATTTTTTTAAATATTTTTGTATCTTTATAAGATCTAGGCCAATTAGTGATTAGACTAATAATATAAAGATCAAGGTTACAAACAATCTATGTATTCATAGAGTATTTCTTTTTCTTATTAAAAAATACATCTCCATTATTCTTAGGATACTGGCTTAAAAGAAATTGCATTATATTAACAAATCCAATGTAATGTTTAAAGCCAAGTGGGCTCAAAGATTGGCTAATATGAAGCTTTTGGGGAGTATTTGATTATCACAAATATAATTTTTCAAATCACAAAATGATTTCAATCACTTGGTTAGTATAGAGGCACATGATGCATTTGCCAATATTACAAGTCCATTTCAATCTTTTGATACTAGTTCCATTTCTATTTGAGCTAAGACGCTTCAATGCTAATGTCAATTGCCAAGTGATATTAGTTTGTAGATAATGATCATTCTTTTTAAAAACAAGATAGTTTTTGATGGCTGAAAGTACTCCTTAAAAGCTTACTCCCAACATTCTTGTTGTGTGACAAAACTTGGCATGAGGCTCATTTATAAAATAATTCAAAACCTAATTGCGTGATTTGGGTATAAGATTTTGAGCAAACACGAAGCAAGGACTATTATTTGTGTGGTGAATCAATTCAAGTTCTTCTATATAATTAAATTCAAAAAAAAAATCCTGAAATTTGCTATTAACTTATTGGTACTATTCTTTAAAGAATTCATTGAATTTCTCATCAATTGTGAAAGTCATCAATATTTCTAAGTCTTGGAGGATTTGCTATTTTTTGGAGCACCAAGGAAGGCATGGTGGGGCTATGGTGTAGTATGGAATCAAAGAGAAAAGAAAGTTGAGGCAAACAATGTGGTTTTTGATATTCACCAGCACTTCTATTGATATTTTGATTTCAAAATCACCAACCTTACAATGTAGGTGATTTGGTGAAATATCAAGTAATATTTCAAAATACCATGGGATACTTTGAAGAAATATCACCATGGAAATATCACCCGAAAAGGCCATATTTGAAACCCCCTATTGGAGATGGCCACATGGCTAACTTCAAATGAAAATGACCCAGTTTACCAAGTACATCCGCAGGATGCCGTAGGAGAAGTGCATAAACCAGCACTGCCTTAACACAAAGCCAACACCCCCTTGGATAGGAAACCGTATTTGATCCTGCACAGTCAGAACCATTCCCGTTCGCCAGGTTTTTGAAGCTCCCGATAGAAACATTCAACCCTAACTAGGTTACCCACGCCGACAGCTTTGCGTTTGCTCAACATACCTGAGGATTTGGTCCATCTCGAACAAGTATGTTCTGCTCGACTTTAACATGTTATATTAGCAGAAATATGGCCTTGCTCTCATTTGCTGGAATTCGAGGTTGAACCATTGCCCAAGAGCACCACTGCTATGTGCATGGAAGGAATGTAGTTACAGGAATTCAGAATTTTATACGCAAATGTTTGCAGATGTAAAGGAAAGGTGATTGTAACTCCAATTCTCTGGAAGTTATTTTCATGCCTGTTTTGTGTGCTAGCCAAAAGCATGTGTGTTGACAAGGAGAATATCAAATCGTGGAACGAATGCAAAGTGCGCATCTTCTCAGCATCTCACACCGAAGTTTAGAAATTTGTAACCTTACGTGAGAGCAACTGGCAGACCAATAAATTTCTAGATTTCGTACTTAACCTTAATTTACTTCAACTATTTCTTCCCTGGGTTGCGCAGCAATCATTTTTAAAGATACTGTAGTGGTATTTTGGGTTAAGCAGTTTTTCAGCAGTTTTCATCAATTTTGCAAAATTGATGGTTCCTGTCCACGACTCACTCCTCAAAGTAGATAGATCAATTCCTCATTTCTACACTCTCTTGAAAGATCTGCTCCCAAGTGTGATAAATTTGCAGTTTGAAGGAGCCAGTTTGCAGTGCATGCCCGCCGAGAAATGGATCCAGTCCATAGACGTTCAATTGCCAGGAGATAATGTACAAGTATCGTCAAACTGTGCAGGAAGTGCGACGCGCAGATTGGCGAGGGCACTGGATGTGGTAGATGGAATTGAAATGTTCGAATCGCCAATGTACATGTCATATAAGTGGTTTACATAGCCGAACAGAATAATAGAGGATATGTAGCAGCAGCGTTCATCAGTGCCTGTCACCTACATTGCATAAGCGTGCACGGTACAAAGTGATACTCGGAGTGTGTAATAAGGAATAACAGGTTCAAGGCTGCTGAAAAGATATGATACCCCACCGACGCAACGCTAAACCCTAACTGGGGTTTCTCCATTGTTGCACAAAAGCAGCTGCGTATGCACGTTAAACAGCATTCAAAACCATTCTTAATATTATTACCTCAATTCAAGGTGACCATTTCAATCGGTTAGGCAACACAATTGTATGACCGAAGGTACAACAGTGTCTGTCGCTGGAGTGCAGGCTTTATATTAAGCATGGTACAAAATCATACCCAGGAGTTGATTATCCTAAGCGAGAGCAATAAAAAGTAGTGATAAGAACGATTCCATGCATTTACAAAATTGCATACGAACCAGAAGGAAGCGCGAGCAGGACTCCTCAAGATGACAGAATTGACAGCTCCACGTTCAACGCTGTCGCCTAAGTTGACTAAGTGCACAATCCAGAAGACTGTCTGGTGCTGTTATCAATACCACTGAAATCTATTCTATGAGACCACTAAGAAAAACTATCTTGCCTAACGAGAATAGTCATACCGGAAGACAAGATTACACGCTGTACAACTGGTTAATCTCATTCTTCATCTCCTCCTCCTTTTCACGGCCGTAGACATCAATGCTCATGTCCTGCTTAATGTTATCCGAGTCATTCACAACCACCTCAGCGTTAAGCACACGCTTGTCCTCAATACTGAAATTGTAGTCCGACTTCACGCCATCCCTCGGCACAATGTGCAACAAATTGTTCTGAGGGTGGTCGCGCTTCCACGTCCGCGAGGCACACTTAGCACGGAAATCAAACTCATCGCCAAACACGCCGCCCTGCATCTCCGCAGGCAACAACTCCACCTTCTCCTGCAGGGCCACGCCGAGATTCGTGGCCGTAACACACTTGTAGCACGTCACGCCACCGTTCTCCATACACTCCAGCGTCCCGGCGGTGACGGGCTCCACTACGAAGACATCCTTCAGCTTGCCGTTCTCGTCTTTCCGGAAGCAATGCGCCAGCCCCAGCACGATGTAATCGTCGTCGCTCCAGTCGGGGTCTTGACCGTGGGGGCTTTCGGAGGCCCTGGTCACGAGGATCACACTCCTCCGCTGCGGCTCTCTCCTTTCCCAGCTCCTGTTCGCCGCGACCTTCACTCCTTGCCCAACAAACGCCGAAACATTCTTCACGAAAACCTGCACTCCGCTCGACGTCGCTCCCTTGTCCACTCTGGAGTGTGCTACCACGTCCAACGCCGCTCCGGCACTTGAAATCCTCGCGGTTGCAGCCATGGCAGCCATCGTTGGAAAGGCAATTCCACGAGGAATTAGACAACGCAAGCGAGGGATTCTCCAACAGATCGGCAGAAGAAGAAGAGGGGGATTTACTTACAGCAATCGAACGAGGGCGTGTTTTGTGATCGGAGATGGAAATCCGGAAAGAGGATAGGAAGAGGATAAGAGGGTTGCAACCGCGTGGTGAACCGCGCGGGAAATGGTGCGTGCATTACCTGGACTGCGCTTCGGACCGTGCTTGAAACTGCGCGTGGAGCTTTCGAAGATATTATCTCTTTGCTTTTTCTACTTTACTTAGATTTTTTATATATTGCTCTTCTTTTGTTTCGTTTTTCGTGTGTTTGTTTGTGGGTGGTCTTTTGACATGAAATTTTTTTTTACGTCAACCAATCATGTGATTGGAATATTCACACAAACCATTTGTTTACATAGATGTGCGCATATACATATATATATATATATATATACATACCAAATATTTAAAGATTGAACATTATATTATTTCATTTGATGAACAATTACTATTTGAATGATTTATAACTTCGGCATTTCAACTGATTAAATTTGAGAAAGTACCATAACATATAATTCCTTGTTCTGTAGTTTTTTCCGTTCTTAAATACGGAGATTCATGTTGCATTTGATAATGAATTCAAATTTAAAAACTAATCTCATGCAAAATGGTATGGGAATAATTTCATATCACAAATGAAACAGTTTTAAATTGTTCATATTGATATGGAAAAATTGCTAAAAGCATCTCTTAGTATATCACCAGTCTTTACCAATAGCAATGTTAGTAGAAAAACAATGCACTCTACATTTTGTGAAATAAACAACCAAAATTTCAAACTTTCTAAAGCTATCATACCAAGTTTTATTAAACCGTCTCAACCTTGATATATCATTAAAACATAAGTATGATATTTAACATTGTCAGATTTATCTTCGAGACACATTTTGATTGTACTTACATGGTCTTGTAGAACCCCCCAATTAACCTACTCAAACCACTTTGTTAACCCAGAATATCACACAGATGTTACACGTATATATAAAAGTATACATCCATATAATCATAATCAAACAAAAATATGACAAATGCCTGTAAAGGCAAGGGATCGAACTGCAGGACCATTCACCTTGTACGAGGCCATTAAAATACATCAGAAATTTAGAAAAAATTTAGAAACTTTTTGAAGTTTACTAAGAGTAATAATGATGAAAGAATATGTTCAACGTTGCAACCACATGGTATAATTCATAGAAAATACAGATTCTAAAACACGATAGAAAAATACATGACAAGGGAGCTGACAATGGTCACCACAGTTCGATATAAATAAAATGCAAACGCTGGATTCTACAAAGAGGACGCTGCTATGCGTGGTTCCATCACAGACTTGAGTTTCCATGAATGCACAGATTGTTGCCCTTCCACACACATCTGGTAATTTGATTTCCAAAAAACGAGAAAAAATTGTTGCTATTGAGTCGACACTCTGGCTGATTGACCAGCCCATTGCTTCCATGGGAAAACAAAATAATTTACAAAATCTTGCTACACGTGCTTCAAGGATGGTTGGACGAAAGAGAAAAAATTCTTCGTTCGCAAACCTAATATGACAGGGTTACCGAACCTGATTGCACTAATCCTACGAAAGACTTACGATGGTCTCATTGCACTTTGAGCCTGAAGCAGTGGGAGAACAGGCGTCAAGCGAACACCAGGAGCCTCTGGCTCCAACACCGTGCTGCCGAGCCGGGTGGGTGGCCAGTAACGTACCACGGACCGTCCTAAAATGCTCTTCACAGGAAGTGGCCCCCTGCCAACAAAGCAGTTTCTCATGATTAGTAGACCTCCAGTCATCACAATATCAGACCTAATCTCGACATGCATTATTATCCCATGCAGCAAAGAAAATGTAGAAGAGTATGTCACCTACTCACCATAAAACTCTATAAATCGAATCAGAAGCACATGAAATAAGATGAGAAAGTATCTCAATCTAAAAGGCCTGTGTTTGTAGAAAGCCCAACTTAAAATAGGTCGGGTTCTTCAGAAACAATGTCGAAGTGTGAGGGGAAGACAACCTACCAGATATGCGAGTCGTAGCTATTGTTACGATTGTCCCCCATGACAAACACAAAACCTTCGGGAACATACTGCACAAGGAAGAAGGGGGGATATGATTATGAAGAAATTGTGCACGGAACCACGACAGAATGAATGAATTCAAATGCCTACAAGAGCTTCAAAAAGTAATAAGTTGTAAGCAGGTAAGAGGGATATGTACAGTGGCTTTCATGTCGTATATGGGCGGCTCAGCAATGAACGGCTCATTCTTTGGCTGCTTGTTGACGAAGACTTGGCCATTATGAACCTGATCATTGAAAAATGATATCAGAAACCCTCCAGCCATCGAAGTCTATGACGACACTCACATGATGAATATATGACGTCACTCACTTAACAGTGCTTAATGCTCGAACCCAAAAAAGGTACCCCCTTTGACAGACTTCCTGCAGGGTTTGAATCGATGGTGACACACTTGCTGCGAGCAGACAGATTGTGACAAAGCGATTCGAATAGGGTGGAAACGGTTACAGCTTCGTCATTCACATACCTCAACGACATCTCCAGCTTTAGCGATTATACGCTTGATGAAGACCTCTCCTGCACTGTAACCCTTGGCCTGCACAAAAAGAATGGTGAATGAACAGCTGCAAAACACCAGCCCCTGAAACAGAAGTCACAATTCTGACATAGACAATCCTGGTCTACCCGCAATCGTGATGCTCTTCGGTCGTAGGTGCTGATATAAGCAAATTCAGGGGGTGAAAGCTCACTTGTAAACTTTCCGGCGCCTTAAAAATGACGATGTCATTCACGCTGGGCTGTTTAAAGTAATACGACACCTGCACAACTAGCCATTCTCTTCACAAGTTAGAGTCAAAGAGTCTGCAACTGTACCTATGGTAAAAACCCTAAATAAACATTGCTGCTCCCTCACCATAGACACGATCTGGATGTTACTCAAACCCCTTAACCTCGTAGCTGCACTTAATTACCATATAGTGCAAATGAAGAACACTCTGAGCCAAACATGCTAATGAGACAACTGAAAACGCTATCTCCGAAGCAGAGGGGGTTTCAAATTTTCACAGAATTGGCACTGGGTTTAGGTGAATCAATTCATAACAATTCCAGTCGGCTCCACAAATCACTCTGTAACACACAACTATCTGCGTGGAAGCTGGTGGTATATGTTTACATAACAGAAGCCTCATCGACCTAATTGGAATCCGCCATATCTGCTGTTAAGTCACCTTAGAAGAGTACCAGGTGCTGGACTCCTCAGGAAGTTTATATTAAGCTCAATTAGTGATTGCGCTCGTAATCACATTACAAATTTGATAGGGTGTAAGCAATCTCTGGGATTCTGGGAAGACGACAGACCCGGTTGGAGTAATTCTTTTGTTGCTACAAAAGATGAAGAATTAACAACAGGCAGGGAAACAGCAAGAACCTTTTCAGCAACAATCCGGTCACCGACTTCGAATGTTGGGTACATGGAAAGAGAGGGAATGAATCTAGGCTCCGCAATGAACCACCTAAACAGCAACGAGAACGCAAATGCGGCCAAGATGGTCTTCCCGTCATCGGACGAAATGGCAGCCCAATCAGGCAACCAGCTCGGCTTCTTCAGCTCCGCCTCTTCGGCATCCACAGCATCCTCCTCACTCGGACTCTCCTTAATGGCAGGCGCAGCCAGGGGCTCTCCCTCCCTGCCATTTCTATCCCTCTCAGACCTTGCCACCAATGCCTCATAACGCCTCTGCTGCTCACTTCTCGACCAACACCTCACCGCAATCTTCAGAGTCTGCCCCACAAACGGATTTCTCAGCGCAGGGCCTCGGCAACATAGCTGCCCACTCCCAACTGACGCCGCGGCCTTGAACTGGGCGTCTACATCTATCGCGAATCCCACTACCGAGATCCTGCCAGCTCCAACTATCATGGCCATTGTGTTACTACGACGAAGATTGTGCAGTGCGGCGACGATGCTGGCGCGAATTCGCGATGCGCGAGGTCAGCCACGAGCAGCAACACCAACACCAACAAACACCGTCATCGTCTTCTAAGGCAAACCTTCACAAATGGCTTCAAGGGGTGAGGAACGGGCTGGGCTGGGCTAGGCCGGGCCGGGCCTTATCGCAATCGAAGGCCACGACAACGCCTATGCCCGTGTCCATGTCAGTGTGAACGGAGGCATTATTTTGATTCCGACACCCACCACTTTCACTCCAGATAACCAACATATTACTCCCAATTATTTATATTCATGTGTGGTTTGGTTTGGTTTTTTATTTTAAAATTAATGTATTATAAATATATCTTCTAATTTTTTCATTTGATTCATTACACATTTCATAATGCCTTCTATTCTTTTGGATTACTAATTAAGTGGATATATATATATATATATATTTATTTATATTTGTTCTATAAAATAGCTTGGATATAAGATAAAGAGGAAAAAATGCATTTTAATTGGATATTGAGAAAGAAACTCTAAGAATTCAAGGAGTTGTGAAATTCTCTAACAAACAAGTAATTGAAGCCTTAAAGATTTTTTAATAATAGTTCTTTTCTAAAAAACTATCTATTGTAAAGGGTACATTCTCTCTCTCTTTTGAATATGCAATTGTGCAAAGTTTTTGCCCCATCCTTACTCTCTTTTTCATTCTCTCTAGCTAAATTGTCAATTGTCTTTATTTCTCTTTTTCTTCATTCCATCTCAAGTTCTACTTTGTCTTTTTAATTAATATCTTTTTGTGGAGGAGCTTCTTTGTTGTCCTTGCTAATCCTATAATTGCTACATTTATAGGTTGTGACTTTAATAGGTTAGACAATTATCCATAAGATGTTCTTTTTCATGTACCAAGAGTCAATTCTTTGACCATTAGCAACTTACCTAAGATAATATTCTTTACAAGATAATTTATTTATTTTTAATTTTACTTATTTATTTTAATACTTCTACTTTACTATTGGTCAAAGGTTGTCAATCCTAATGTCTTTATCAACATATGATGTCTATCTTTTATTAATACTTTTGTCAATAAATTAGCAAGCATGTCCTTTGTTGTACAATACTTTATATCAATTACTCTCATTTTAATCTTCTCTCTTATGAAGTGATGTTTAATGTCAAAATCTTTAGTCCTTGAATGATGTTTTGGATTCTTTGTAAATACAAGATATCTTAGAATGTCACATTCCATTAGAGTTGCTTCTGGTTGCACTACTCTAATATCTTCCAAAAGTTGTCTTAGTGATATTGCCTCCATTGTACCATGGCTTATTGTCATATAATCCACTTCTATTATTGACCTTCTAATTGTTGGTTGTTTCTTGCAATTTTATGAAATAGCTCCTAGTCCAAAAAAAATTATATACTTTCTTATTAACCTTCTATTATTTGCATCTCTAGCCCAATATGCATCACAATAATCATACAAAGTAATGTTATCACCTCTTAGGCACAATTTGAAGTGCAAAATACCTTTTAAGTACTTTATGATCCTTTTGATGGTTGCCTAATGGATTATTCTAGTCTTTGACATGTGTTGGCTTACAATACTCACTGCATATGAAAAATCCACCCTTATGCTAGCTATTACATATATAAGTGAGCCTACTGCTATTTTGTATAGAACATCTTGCATTAAACCTTCAACTTCAGCAAAATTTTCATCCTTGAACTTCATCAACTTCAAATTAGCTTTCAAAGGTGTTCTAATAGGTTTATATTCTTCTATATTGAATCGTTTCAATACTTCTTTAATGTACTTATTTTGACTCATTGTAATTGTATTTTTAACATGATAACTCTAAAATTGTACTCCTAAATAATAGTAAAGTTCTTCCAAATCATTCATTTCATACTTATTTACTAACTTTACCTTTAACTAATCTATCATCTTCAAGGTATTGATTAAGATGATTAAATCATCAATATATAAGATAATAATCTATATGAACTCATTTGATTATATTAAATATATGGAAAGATTAGCTTCACTTCTTATGAACCTTTCATTCACAAAGAATTTGTCAATACATTAATACAATGCCTTTAGTAATTGCTTGAGTCCATATAATGATTCTTTCAACTTACAAATAAGATGTTATTTGCCTTCTTCAATAAATCCTTGAGGTTGATCTATATAAATGTTTTTTTTCAAATTTTTATTCAAGAAAGTTGTTATTACATTTATTTGATGTATCTCCAAATTCATTGTTGCATCAATTGTTACAATGGTTCTAATAGTAGTGAATTTGTCCACAAAAGCAAATGTCTCTTGAAAATCAACATCAACAACTTGTTAGTACTTTTTTCCAACCAATCTAGTTTTATATCTCATAACATTCCTTATTGTATCTTTTTTGGTTCTAAATACATATACATAATCAATTGAAGATTGATTTGGTGACAGTTGAGTTAATTCTCATAGTCCACTATCTATGAGTAATTTGTACTCTTCTTCCATAGCATTATCTTATTTCATAATATCTATAGATTTCATTACATCATACAAACTCAATGGATTAATAAAGAGTGCAACATTGACATGTTCTTCTCTTACTTGAGAAAAGATGTGGTTCTTCTATCATTCATCAAGTTTGAAATAGAAAACGATTATCTCTAAGATCTACGATCCTTTTAATCTATAGCAATATAAATCTTGTTACAATATAGGACATTGTAGACCAAAATAAAATTAAATAGAATTAAATAGAATGTAACATGAAAGATAAAATAGAACAAAAGATAATAGGATAAAATTTTAAAAAAAAAAGTAAAAAATCAAACTTTACTAAGAGAAAGGAATTAAAATCATATTTGATCAAATATCCAAATAATCTTGATTAATCCTATTTATACTTTGTTTAATCATCTTAGAATTTTTTAGAATATTTTTAATAGTGGGCTTTATCTAAATAACTACCTTAAATTATTTTTAGAATGTTCTATGGTAGATCTCATATAGACTATTAATCTAGCTTTAATTTTAAAAACTTCTAAAAAATTCTAAAAACTTTTTAAATATGGCTCGAACTACATATTTCTATCTCAAGGACATAAACCAAAAGATGATGCATAAATCAATGAAATCCGTGCCAAAGAAAGAATAATAATTTAGAAATAAAGAAGTACGTATATTAAAAAGAAACTGGAATGGCTTATTACTAAAAGACAAGAAAACTTGAGATTCTTGAAACTAGACTAGAAGCAAGAAAAGAATTGAGAAGAGTGAAGAAGGCTTTACTCTTGTCTTTATATACTATCTAACTAGAGGCTATAAGGCAATATTCTATAGGACCTCCAATATGTGTTGACTTTGTAGGACACATGCCTTGACTTATAAGGCAAGTTTTTCTACTTGTAGGCCACATAATTAACTTGATCTTCAAGCTAATAACATGTGTGGCACATGGCCAACTTGTTAACCACTTTTTTAATCCAAAAAATCAATTATAGATACCTATAAAGTCAAAGCAGTGTCTATGAAGCTTCTAGAAAGCTTCTATAGAATATATTATAGAATTAACTTACTTCTACTTACTTCTACCTATTTATATAGGTAATTATTGGCTTACATGTGTATGTCCATGACATTCTATGCATCAAAAACACAAATATTTTACTTATATCCCATTATAATTAATCTCTTTTTACTAATACAAAATGTCTTCATTTCATTCTCAATGGTATTTCCAAATTATTTCTTGACAATGACTGAGGTTTGGTATACATTCGTACATTGCATCATAGATTGAATAATCTTTCCAAAGGACTTTGTACAAAATTTGTGGTCATCCATTGCCACAAAAAAAGATAGTGATGTTCCAAAGTATTGTCTACTTTATATTCTTGTTGATCATTAATCACAATTGGTGGTAGTGGTAGTCGTAGTAGTTGATAATGGTCTAAAAAATACCTTTGCTCAATATAAAATTTTTTGAATTGCAAAACAAAAAAGACATGATGGATTAGAATATATGACAAAAGCTCGAGGCAATATGCAACATCAAAAATTACTACAAAAATGGAAAAAGGTCCAAGCCATTGAGGTGCCAACTTATAAATTTGGATTGATATAGCAAGTAAAAATTGGCATTAGAAAATAACACTTGATCACCTTCTTGGAAGGTCTTATGTTGCATATGGTTATCCATATATTGCTTCTATTTATTTTGTGTGATAAGGACGTGGTGTTGTGCCTCATACAAGGCCATTGTAAGTTGTTATACAAATTCTTCCATTATTGGATTGTTGGTGTCAATTTAAAAATGAAGAATTACTGACAAAATTTGATGTTGATTGATATTAAGAAAGAATAGTGAATGAATGGTACTTGCTTAAATACTATTATTATAAATAAATTCTAAGGACATCAAATATTCATCCTAGTCATTATGATAATTTACCACAAATACTCATAGCATATCTTTTAAGGTCCAATTTGTATGCTTTATTTATCTATTTATTTAAAAATAAAAGGCCATAGACATAACAAGTCTTGTGCCTTATCTTTTGATTCAAGATTCAAATTTGGTTTTCATAATGAAGTGTTTGGCATAGTGTGTTGCCACCTTTGCTTATATTTAAGTTAAATATCAAAGAGCTATAATTATTATTTTCAACAATAATGTCATGATTTCATATTTTTCAAATGCAAATTGTATAGTAGAGATTGATGGTCAATCCAAAAAATCACTAGCTTTTCTAACAAATAGTGTCACCACATCTTTGTGGCATATACAATTACTAGTTTCTCTCAATCATATACAAAGTAATTATGCTTTGTCCTTTTGAGCTTGCATGATTTATATATTGTCGTATTACATGTGATCTTACTTAAGAATGCACCAAACATTTAGCTCTAGAGAGTAACTAGAAATACAAGAACAATCCTACTAAGTCTAATAGAATCTTAATTAAACTTAAATAGACCTTAATAATCCTAATTAAACTTTGATTAATCCAAAATAAACTTAAAAGAAATTATAAAAAAATACAAAGAAGTTCCAAACAAATCACAAAGAATAATAGCAAAAAATCTTTAAAAATAAAAAATAAATCTT